ACTACTACTACTCTCTCTCTCTCTCTCTCTCTCTCTCTCTCTCTCTCTCTCTCTCTCTTTCTCTCGTTGATAGCCGATATTGGTGGCCGTTTATTATACTTAGCCACGTGGAACAACGACTTGGATACCTCGCGTGCCACCCACGTCATTCCTAGGAAATTTAGGCCAGACGAAAATTCAATTTGCACCATCTGATAACCAAGCATCTACGAGTTGACCACGCCTGTCATATATAATATTCCTCGACTTGATCAAGATCAAGCGTCTCGAGCAGTTCATCGCCCCTTCGTCTACGCGGACCCGGGTAGAATTGGGTTGTTCGCCATGAAAGGCGGACGTTGGAGCATACTCATCCCCTCCATCCTCGTCTCGAGCAAGATCAAAAGCATGTTCAAACTGACGACCGAGTGAGACTCGCCAACTTTTTGCCCGTTCTGCCGAAGAACGAGACAGAGACGAAGGCCTTTCTCTTCTCTCCAGATACGCGAGTGACGTGATATCAAGAACGAGCCTGAAAACATATTCTGCGAGAGGAGAGGTGGACCTAAAGAAGAACACGTTCGTGCTGATCCACATATCTTGGCTGTTACCAAACTGTTGCGATTGAGATTTCTCGCGTGCAAAAGTTCTTCTACGATCTGGTGTTCGAGATGATCGAGGACAGGCGTGAACAGGTCGAACATGTTCACGCCTTTCTACTTGGTTTCGACTCTGTCGCATCCAGGCGACACGTCCAGGCGAGGTTGCAGTAGGAGATCAATCGAGACCATGCGCCTCTATCCTTCCTGGAGATGGATACGTGCATGCAGAGTTTCCAATTGCTCCTCTCCCTCTTTACTCGGTGACTGACTTTTCACCTTTTGTCCAGGGATCAATGTTTGGATCCCATTGACAAATCTGACAAATTTCAGACAGGTTCTTCGATGGAAAAGGGGATCAAAAATTCAGGAGCGTATTTCTGCTCGGTCAGAGGAGGTGCATTGGCGAACGATTCGTTATGGATGGAGATGAAAGTGATCAACACGAATGTCAGTAGTGGTATCTGGTTGAGAGTCGAGTCTAGGAAGGATACTTGTTATAATTCTGCTCTGTATCATATTTTGTATATAATTTGAGTTTGAATAAAAGAATATGTTGTTTGAAGTTTTTTTTTTAAATGTAAACGCGTGCGTAGGTATATTTTTTTTTTTTTTTACATATTCTTCTTTCAAACGAGGTTCGAATAATTGGGGAGAAAAATAAATGACGTGTTGGAGTCGGTAAACAAGTGTAAATGTGCCGTAACGTAGGTGGAAAGATCGATGACAGGGAAATAAAGTAAATGTAGAATTAATTGTTCGATAATGTACGGATAAATTACGTTCGTTTATATATATTATATATTATAGTA